ATCATTAATATTATATGCAAGTAAAATTTTGCTGAAAATAATTTTAAAAACAGCTGCAACAATACAATAACAGAGAACTTCCAGTGATTCAAGCTGGATTCAGACAAGAACATGGATGAGGAATATCATCTGACATCAGATGGCTTGTGACTGAAATCAAAGAATACCAGGAAGATGTTTGCTGTTGCTGCTGTTATATGCCATTGAGTCAGTTCCAATTCAAACCGTCGAGTTGGTTCCAAATCCTGTATAGGGTTTCTGAGGAGCCACTGGTGAGCTTGAACTTCCAACATTACAGTTCAAACCAAACTTGCAGTCCAGCACATTAAACCACAGCACTTCACTCTGAAGATGTTTGTTTACCTGTGCTTTATTCATTATGCAAAGGCTTTCAATTGTGTGGATCATGACAAGCTATGGAAAATACTGTGAAGACTAAGTATTTGAGAACATTTTATTGTGCTTGTAAGAAACCTGTACATAGACCAAGAAGTAGTCATTTGAACAGAACAAGGGGATACTGAGTGATTTAAAATTAAGAGCAGTGTACGTTAGGGTTGTATTATTTCACCATGTTTATCAATCAGTATGCTGAGCAAATAATATGAGAAGCTGGATTATATGTAAACAACCATGGTATCAGGATTGGAGGAAGACTCATTAACAATCTTGCTTGCTGAAAGTGAAGAAGACTTACAATACTACTGATGAAGGTCAAACACCATAGCTTTCAGTATGCAAATCAGAGTAAAGAAAACAAAAATCTTCACAACTGGACCAATAAATAGCATCAGGATAAATGGAGAAAAGATTCAAGTGTGTCAAAAGACTTAATTTTCATTGGATTCACCATCAACACTCATGGAAGCAGCATTCAAGAAATCAAACGATGAATTGCCTTAGGCAAATCTGCTGCACAAGACCTCTTCAAAGTATTCAAGAGCAGAGATGTCAGTTTCAGGACTAAGGTGCGCTTGACCTAAGCCATGGTATTTTCAATAGCCTCATATGCATGTAAAAGTTGGATAATGGATAAGGAAGACCGTAGAAGAATTGATGCAGATGAGTTATGGTATTGAAGAATACTGAAAGTATCATGGACTGCCTTAAGAACAAACAAATGTGTGTTTTAAGAAATACAGCCAGAATGGTACTTAGAATCCAGAATGGCAAGACAATCTCTCACACTTCAGACATGTTATCATGCTTGGTAAAGTGGAGGGTCAGCCAAAAAGAGAAGTCCACCGATGAGATGGATTGACACAGTGGCATCAGTAATGTGCTCAAACATAACAACAATTTTGAGGACAGAGCAGTGTTTCATTCTGTTGTGCAGTCACCATGAGTTGGAGCCAACTCGATGGCACCTAACAACTACACTAAGCTGTAGTTCAAAAATAATTACTAATTTATCAGGAACAGCTATTCATTAATCACAATAGCATTGATAAACTAGCTGTGTTGTTGTGAGTTGCCAGTCAGTCAACTAGGACTCATAGCAATCTTACATGAAACAACAAAACATCGTCCGATACTGATAATCTTCATGATCTTTGATATGTATGAGTCCATTATTGCAACTACTGTGCCAATTACCTCATTTCAGTTTCCCTCATTTTTGCTGACTCTCTACTAAACAAGATACCCTTTTCCAATACCTAGCTTTCCTAATGATGTGTCTGAAGTAGCAAGAAAAATTCTTATCATCCTTGTTTCTAAGAAACATTCTGGTTATATTTCTTCTAAGACTTTTTGATTTTTGTTCTTATGGCAGTCCTTCCTTGCCAACATCGCAATTGAAATGCATCAATTCTTTTTTTAATCCTCCTATATATATGTATAGGGTGGTGGTGGCTGTGTTCCACTGAGTTGGTTCCAACCCATAACAACACTGTATAGGGTTTCTATGGCTATAAATCTTTATGGGAGCAGAAAGCCTCCTCTCTCTCTCCCACAAAATGGCTGATGGATTCGAACTGCTAACCTTGTGGTTAGCAGCCCAATGCATAGCCACTATGCTACCAGTGCTGAGGCAACTGAAAATGTCATGACTTGGGTCAAAGACACCTTAGTCATCAAAATGACATTTTTGTAATTTTTAATATTTTAAAGAGGTCTTTTGTAGCAAATTTATCTAATGCAATAAATCATTTAATATCCTGACTCTTGCTTCTATGGCCAATTATTTTTGATCCAAGAAAAATGAAATCATGACAATTTCAATATTTTTCTCTTTTTATTATAATGCTGCTTACTGGTTCCTCTTTTGTGAGAATTTTTATTTTTTTCATGCTAAGGTGTAATCTGTACTGAAGACTGTAGTTTTGACCTCCATGACCTCCATCAGTAAGTGCTTCTTTATTTTGGGCAAGCAAGACTGGATCTTCTACATATCACAAGCTGCTAATGAGTCTTCTTTCAATCCTCATGTTGCATTCTTCTTCATATAGTTCAGTTTCACAGATTATTTCATCAGCATACAGACTGAATAACTAAGGGGGGAAAGGATACAACACAGTCAAACACTTCTTTCCAATCTGAAACCACACAGTATCATCTTGTTTGAACAACTGCCTCCTGATCCATGTTTAGGTTCCACGTGATCACAATGAAATGTTCTGTAATGACCATTCTTCATAACATAACAAGCTACATGATCCACACAGCTATTCATGTAGCTGATAAAAAGCAGGTGCTCATCTTTCTAATGTTTTCTGCTTTCAGTAAAGATCCAACTGACATTAGCAATGGTATTTGTTGTTCCATATTTTCTTATTTGATATAAATCTAGCTTGAACTTCTGATTATTCTGTCAATTTACTGCTGTACTGATTCTGAAATAATCTTTATCAAAATTTTGCTTCCATGTGATATTAATGATATTGTTTGATAATTTCTGCCTTCCATTTGATAGACTTTTTTTGGAATAAACAAAAATATGTATCTCTTCCAGTTAGTAAGCCAGATAGTTGTCTTACAAGTTTCTTAACATAAATCACTAAGCATTTCCAGCATTGCATCCACTGTTGAAACATTTCAGTATTCTGCCAATACCTAAAAACTTGTTTTTCACCAATGTTTTAGTGTATTTCTTTCAATACCAGTTATTTTGATCATATGTTAGTTCCTGACATGCTACAAAGTCAACCAATTATTGTTGATATGCTACAAGCCTTGGTTTTCATCAATGTCTTACTGCATCTTGAATTTCTTCTTTCAGTACCAGTGGTTTCTGGATCATATGCTACCTCCTGACATGTAAGAAAGTCAACCAATTATTTCTGATACAGTGAATCTATGTATTCCTTCATCTTCTTCAGAATGCTTCCTGCATCTTTTTTTTTTTTTTTTTTTTAAATCATAGACTCATACAGTAGTGTAACTCATGCTTGAATTTTCTCTTTAGTTCTCTCAGCTTGAGAAATACCAACTATGTTCTTCATTTTTGGTTTTCTAATTCAAGATCCTTGCATAATTCATTATATTTTACCTTGCCTACTTGAGCTACCCTTTGAAATCTTTGCTTCAGATTTTTTTACCTAAGCTTTTTCACCTTATTATTTCTTTTGTTTGATTTAGTCATTCTGGGCTTAAGAGAGAGTTTCTCTTCTGACAAATCAATTTTGACGTTTTCCTTTTTCCATGTCTTTTTAATAACCTTACACTTTCTTTATGCATGATGTCCTTGATGTCATCCCACAACTCCTGTGGTCTTCTGTCATTAATGTTCAGTGTCTCAACTCTACTTTTTAAATGGTCCCTAAATGTTTGCATGATGTACTCACATTCATACTCTGGCTATCATGGAGTTGCTTTCTCTTTAGCTTCAACTTGAACTTCCACAGGAGCAATTGACGGTCTGTTCTGCAGGCATACATAGCAACACATATACACTATGTATAAAGCAATGAAAATGAATAAGAGCAACCTCTTTTTTTTTCAAACTTTAAAGTATTTATAGTCGTCAATAATTTATTACTGTTGCTATTGTGTGCCATTGAGTCAGTTCCAACTCAGAATGACCCTTTACAGGGTTGCCAAAAGTGGCTGGTGGGTTTGAACTGCCAACTCTGTGGTTACCAGTCCAGTGCCTATCGTACAGCACAACACTAGGGCTCAAAAGTATATTACTAGCAGTGAATTATTTGGAAAACATATTAAAATTGTCACTACAACATGATTGTGAAGCAATGTTTTTACCTCACATTTTTAGTAGATTATAGTGACTAAAGGAGCTCTGGTAGCATAGTGGTTATGAATCAGGCTGCGAACCTTAAGGTCAGCGGTTCGAAACTACCAACCGCTCCGCGGGAGAAAGATGAGGCTTTCTACTCTCGTAAAGATTTACACCCTCGGAAACCCTATACAGGGTCACTATGGGTCGGAACTGACTCAACGGCACTTAACAACAACAATCCTTTTTTAAAAAAGCAAAAAGAACTATCAGTCAGGCAAAAAATGTTTTAACAGTAAGAGTTTTACTTAAAATAAAAAGTCAAAATCCCAGTTAATTGAGTCAAAATAATTTTTTTTAGTTTGACTTTCTCTAAAACAAAACAAAAAATGTATTAAGGATTGACAGCTACAAAATTTTTATTAACATTAAGAATCATTTTGTGTACATTTCCAAAAGTGTTTACAGAATTAAGTTTCTACAAAAAAGCTAGCAACGCAATCATGACCAAGACCAGAAGGTAGTACTACTTTTCTCTTTAATTGTCAAGTAGATACTGTTGTTGTTAGTAAGTGCCATAGAGTTGGTTCCAACCAATAGTGACCCTGTATAGGGTTTCTGAGGAGCAGATAGTGAGCTTGAACTGACGACCTTGTGGTTCAAATTGACTTTGCACTCCAGCGCTTTAACCCACAGCGCTAAACCAGGACTCCAAAGTAGTTACTGATTGCTTACTCAGTATAACACAAGTTACTTTCACTAGAAATTTTAATCACGTATCATTTCTAGAAAGGGATTAATAAAAAAAAACTTTAGAACAACTCACCTGTAAAGTGCAATTTTCATTTCTTTCAAGAAACTTCACAAATCTCTGCACGACTCCTGGTTTCTGTATAACTTGATCTATTGGTGGATTAGGTTCTAAAAGAGAAAAATGAATTGCTCTAAGTTAGTCCATAGACATAAACAGACAATTATCAGGTCCCTACGTCAATACCAGAACACACAAAATAACTTTCTTAGGTTTCACCAATTAAAATTTAAAACTGAATAATGGTACAAATGAAAATAAATGTTCTCATAATTACAATGCATTTTAATTTTTCATTAATTATAATAGGAAATGTCTAAAATATTTCCTGCAGAACGCTTAAATTTCAAAAGTTAAAGGTTATTTTGATGAAAGCTTTTTAGGTTAGCTTTACACCATAGGAGGTATTTTAGAACATTACTGAAAAACGAACTTAAGTATACAATTTCGAATAACTCTTTATTTATTTTAATGTTTTATTGTGAATTATGTGACAGTTTGCATGGGAGAACATTAGTTTTACAGTCATCCTATCTATATTGTTTCATTTCCATGGTTATAATCCCCTCCATGCATCATCAACCAACCAAAGGGTATACCCTGCAAGCCTGCCCCTTGGTCATCAGCACACAGCCTCTCTCCCTCTCTGGATCTAAAGTCCCCAGCTACTCCATCTCTCCACATCATCATCTCTGCCTCCATCTCAGGCATCACTGCTTCTCTGAGTAGGGTCCCGCTCTCCACTCTTCTCCCTTGATGGTCCCAGGGACCTCAGCTCCTAGACTGCAAAGTCAATCACTCCTCTTCTTGCTACAAAACCTTTACATTTCCAACCCTCACAATCAGTCCTGATAACAATTATTCACTATTGTATCACAAGAGGCCTATCCATATTTACTTTCATCAACCCCGCCTCCACAGATTGGATACTACTCAGTGGAGATTCTACCTTCCTCCACACCCTCTGGATCTAGGTTCCCTCTTAAAAGCTTGTAAGCAAGTCATTTCTTGCCTTTGTAGCCCTCCCACTTTGGGTAGCCAATGTCCAAGTTGCCTATCCCTGTATACTCTGTGTATGAAGGGGGTGGGAATAATCCTTGTAAAGATTTGTTCCCTCTTTTGAGCTACTGCATCCATAGGTGTAGGTCAAGTTCATCAAATTGTATCAGATTA